GGAGCGTGACCTGCATCTTTTCGATTTCAAATGCCTAGAGGACTATTTGGCTGAAGTCTGTAAACTTTTCATCTCCTTACTCCAAGCTAGCTTGCCACTTTCTCGGGACTCAAGCCAACTACTTCAGTTTCATGGATTTGGAGTTCATTGCTAGGTGCTCGAAGTGGGTGCTAGCTAAGTCTCCTTTCGATACTTGAGGCTCACCAGTCGGAGTTTAAAGCTCAGGTTTAGGGTTTAGGGCTTTAGGGTTTAGGGGTTTAGGGTGTAGGGGTTTATAGGGTTTGGGATTTAGGGGCTTAGGGGTTCGAGGACTTGCGTTAAGAGTTGAGGTTCAGAGATAAGGGTCTAGCGCGCTGGTTACCTTCCCGGTTTTCTTCTGGAATTGCTCCCGTCCTCCCGGCTTTACAGGGGATACTGATGTTTGAGAACCTGTGATATTCATCAGCCTCCTTGAACGAAAATGTTATGGGTAGATTCCAAAGTTGGGTCCCCATTTTAAACCACCAAAATAGAAGCCGTGGTAGTCAATCAGCTTACCAGGGGCATGGATAGTTTTCGAAACTTGGGGTTACTTCTTTCTACCGAAATACTAGGTGCCGCACTATACTGGCAGATCCCAGAAGCAGCCAGAATTTTAAGAGCGCACCGAATCTCGACCCTTCAGGATGATGTGCAGCTGAAGGTGGGAGTGTTCCAAATTATCCCTACATACAGAACCCTTCTACTCCAAAACCCTAATCCCTAAACTCACAAACGTAAGCCCTACTCCCTAAATCCTGAACCCTACTCCGGCAATCCTAAACCTTGATCCATTCATCCCATAATCTCCAGATCCCCCTGAGGTGGCCCTAAAGAATATCATCATGAAGCTGGAGCCATGGGCCAGCAGTGCTGCCCGAGCCAGCTGCTTGGTTTGGGGATTAGGGGGATTTATAGTCCCCTTTAAGTAGATAGAATATGGCTAATAAGGTCCCCATATACCCCATATTCTACCTACTTAAGGGGGACTATAGGCTCAGGATTTGAGTTTAGGATTTAGGGCTTAGGGTTTAGCATTTCAGAATTCAGTGTAGGGTTTTTCGGGCTTCGAGCTTAGGGTGCAGGGCCCTTCCTGTCCTCTTTGAGAAGCGAAAATTCTACCGGATGCAAGAAGCCAGCGGAAGCCCTGGTCCATACCCTAGTCATTTGTGTGGTTTAGGGTTTAGGGTTTAGGGCTGCAAAATGATAAGGAAGAAAACGAAACGTTAATGTAGCGCAGGGATAGATTCGATAGTCAGGCTACGATCCGAACGACCCCATCTTTGAGCCTCTGGTTGCCGCCTGTATGAGGGGGGCGTAGCACAGAGGAGTGTACAGATGCCACTGGGGAGTGTCAGGAGTCAGAATGTATACCTAAAGGACTCCAACCAGTGAGGGGGAGACCTTAATTTTGATGCCTTGTAGGCTTCGGAGGAGGGCCTACCAGCAAAATGGTCAGACATGTTTGGTACATAGACGTACAGGAAGAAACCTACATGAAGCGCAGGGAGTAAGCCAATAGAGTCCCTATGTACTTCCTATATTATGTATTCCCTTGTACCTTCCTAAGCGCCAGCAAGGACATGGTTTCAACTTTCTGCCTTTTGTGCACCAAGACCTGGGTGTGTTTAACCCAACCTGACGTGTGCCAGGATTCGGCTCCTTATATATTGCCAGCGAGATTATGCTTTTCTGAGTATAGGAGACAACCCTGCAACCTAAACTCTAAGCCGAAACTGTTTTCTAGCGCAGTTTGTTTCGCTGAGCTCCAGGGCTTCTTGAGAGAAGGTAGTAAGTTGAGAAAGCCACGCAACTGCGAAACCTCTCAATCATGTTACAGAGTATGCCAGAACATTTGAAGAGACATTGTGAGAGAATCAGGGCTCTTGAATATGAAGGCCGAGCATCTGGTCAGAGGTCGTCAGGCCATTTCCTTGCTTGTCTACTTTGAGGTTGAGTTCGCTCTAAACCCTACACCCTGAACACCGTGATCCTTTTAGCCCCAAACCCTGGAACTGAAACCCTGCAACGCCGACACCTCGAATGATAAGCCCTCAAGCAAAGATTGCTGATGGGAAGCCCTCCGTGCGCTGCAGCAGGGACTGGAAACCTCTCTCGGACTTTCTCAGCAATCAGGGCCCCAAACAGAATTCCAAGCAACACCATGGCTATTGAGGGACCCCAAGCTCCAAACTCTGAACCTAAGCGCTAAATCCAGGGACCCAGAAGTTGAGAAACCCCACACCTTTGTACAGTCAGTTGAGCTCAGCGCCCTCGCAGAAAAGAGGAGTCCAGGATGATACCAGCTGGGCCCCCAACCCTTCATAGTACTTGTGTGTACTTATCGTTGTTATCATTATTGTCATGGCTATTGACTGTTGATTTTTAGTATTGTTGCTATTATCAGTGTTCTGAACAGTATTCGTGTGTTAATACTATGTAATTGGGGGGAGGCGATTATGCGTTCTTGGGCTTGGTTTCAAATGAAAGCATGGGTTCTGGCTGGACCATGCAAAAAAGCTGTGGGTCGTAGGTATTTTCCTGTATCACAGGGATGTATAGAGACAGAGAGGGGATAGGCGCTTGTGGGGGTTCCGAAATCGTGGCGGCACGTGCGGCTGATGTCGCCATGTCGTTCTTGCTGTTGTGCACCGGCCCTGTGTCTCTTTAGAAATACGCATATTATACTGTTGCAGCATGATCGTTGGAAACCCCCAAACATCCCCATGCAACCTAGCATCCTTGCCCAGTTTTGGTTCTAGGGGAATTCGTGTTGCACCCATGGGTCTTAGTTGCATGTTTTTCTTGCATAGGGCTTCAAGGAATGGTTCTTTTCGTGCCCAACATGGACTCAAGAGTTCCTAAAAATTCACCAAGAGCTTCCCAGATTGAGGAAGTAAGGCTTCAGGTCCTTGCAATGTGGGAAGTTCGCGCAAAGATATCCCAGGTACCACAGAGCATAGTGCAGTGGGACTAGGATGCTTTCCGGAAGCGTTCACCTATGTTTTGGAAAGAACGCTGGTGCGAACTGGTGATGATAGCATGCCGTGAGTTGCCATCACAGTAACAGGATGATTTGCGGCAAGCAGGCGCATTCAGGTGGTGAGTGGGAAGGTGCTCTTGTAAGATAATGGAAGGCTTCAAGGTCGCATGGCTTTGGGCCATGAACTAGCAAGAGTAAGTGGTGTAGATTTTTCGTGCTTGTATTCTTAATTCATCTGCAATTCATTCAAACCCCTGTGTACTTGGCACTCTAAACCCTATTTTTTGAGTACCCAAGGCCCGCAGGCTCGACTCCAGGGTCCGGAGCCGCAACACCTAAAACAGTAGCATCCTTAAATCCCAAACCATCCCACTAAAGCCTTCATGCTCTGAAATTTAGGATCCAGGACCAGAAAGTCTACAGATGTGGAGCATTGCTAAGTCAATCTACTTCTGTTCCACCTGGCAGGCTGAAGCACCCTAGTATGTATGATATGAGGGCCTCTCAAAATGGAGGGACTCAAGGGAATTTGGGGGTATATGGGGATAGGGGATCTGAAGTAGTACATAGGTTCTTTCTTTGTTGAGAAGCTCCACATTAAATTAAAGAGGGTGCGTTGCTTGGTCTCATGACGTCCTTGGGTGGAAGCCCAGGCCCTGGCGGTAGTTTGGAGGATCCTCGGGGTTTGGTGGCTACGTATGCTCCACTTTATCTACATTATCCCATGAAGCCCAACGGAGACTTCATAATCCTTTCTGTGGGGATCCGCAGAAAAAGAACCCAGAAACTCCCATTTGGAGCGAAGTTTCCCTCCTGCTAGCCAGTTTCCATGGCTTGCATGGCATGTGCTTGAGACATGCAGGCTAGATTTTTGCTCCAATCGTGCATGTGATAAATCGTCAGACTATACGATACAGGGACTGGGACCTACGCTGGAATCCAGGCTATGCGGAATTTCGATTTAGGCTCTTGTTTGAACATGGCCGCCAATCTACCAGAGCCTGGCGCTGAGGACTTGCATGGGTGCTGTGCCGGAGGTTTTAGGGTTTCCCAAATTTTGGGGTACCTATTGGGCGAGTCCTGACAAGAAGGTTTGGGGGTTTATATTGGGGATCCCCATTGTGGAAATTACCATACCGGCAATCATCAGAATTGCCAGGCTGTCGACGTCCTCGTCATCTATTAATGTCCAGATTCTTGCTTATCAGTTCTCACATTTGAGCTGCCGACATGACAGGGCAGGACAACGCATCCCTAGCCTTTTCGCGGCGTTGCGCCCAACCTTTCCCAAACAACGTCCTTGTGATTGTTTTTGACCTTGAGTGGAGGTTTTCTGCCGCAGGCATATGGGATCAGAGCTGGAGCTGCCAAGAATTGCAGTGGTGCGCACAGTGCCCAGGGTCTTTACACTGGTGCTCACGATCCTCTTGATGACCTCCAAATTCATCTAACTGCCTTGCAGCTTGAAATCATTCCTTTAATCCTTGGAAGAAGATTTGCTTCGAATCCCAAGCCGCCCAAAGTTTTGTTCGGCTCTTGCCCCCGGCGGGATGAGTTCAAGCCATGAACGCGAACGGCTAGCCAGCCGTCTTCATTTGGGTTCTGTTTTGGCGTCTACTGGTTTGACCAGAGTACAGCCTGATGTCCAAACTCTATCCTAAACCCTAAACCCTAAACCCTATTAAGGGTTCAGATGGTGGCGCGAACTTGTCGTGGTCAAGTTATTGATAATGCAGGTTTCTGTATTGTTGCCCGTTCTTTGCATGAATTCTGGGTGCCCGGTTAGGTCTTGCTTTGCATCAGGTGTGTGTGTGTGTGTGCTGGATTGCTGTTAAGGAACGTAAATCAAGTTATTATATTGGCAAAAGCTGAAAAGCAAAATAGTATAAACCCAGATCTCACATCCTTAGCCCTACACTCGCAACCCTATGTAAACTCTAAACCCCAAACCCTGAACCCTCAGCCCCTAAACTCTAAACTCTCTACTTGGACAGCCCAGGTATCCTCGCCACCTGCAGAAGGATCTGGCAGCAGGGGTCCGGAGCAGGTCAGTTTCTCAAGCTGGGGCGCAGTAGTCCTGGTGGTGGTGGTGGTGGTGGTGGTGGTGGTGGTGGTGGTGGTGGTAGCAGTAAATAAAGAAGTAGTGGTAAGTAGCAATAACAATTAGTAATAGGCAATAACAATAGCAACAATGAACAATTGCCATCATGAATCGCGACAATCAACTTTGGCCTCCAAGACAAATCCTTGACTTTGCTTTGTCAGGCCTTGCAAGAGCATGACCACCATTCCCAGTACACCAAGTTAGATGCAGAAAGAGCACACTACCGCCGAGAGCTCTATTCATGGGCAGCTGCAAGAGACACGCTGCGATTTGTTGTGTGGGTTCTTGTCGGCATGTGTGTGGACCAGATCTTCGACCATTTTTCGGACATGAAGGGGCAAAAGAATGTGTTTGATCTTGCCCAGTACATATGGCTGCTTTTGTCATTCACCGGAATCTACTGGGCGTTTCAGAACCAGAACTGGTGGGTGTTGGCACTGTGCACTGGATCATCATTCAGCCTCTTGGGGAGAGATTTGTCTTTGCATCGTGAAGGCTGCTTTGGAGGCTCTCTGGATGATGCATACTGGTGGACCCAGCGACTGGCGCAATGGCTGAGCCCCTTTGTAGCATGGATGTCCCTGAGTGGCAGTCAGGAAATTCATGGATGATTGTAGGCAATTGTCACTAGGCCTTGAGACCCTAATTAGATCTCAAACCAGTCACCTTCTGAACCGTGTCAAGCCTTCGTTCCAGGATCATGTTGACATCGCGAGCCCTGGACCGCGTCTACGGGGTGGTTCGGCCAAGTGCGGACTCCGGGGTTGATTCTGGAAAGCTGTTTCTGTAGTTCTTGAGGCGGCAGACTCCTCCTGTGTCTCCCTTGTGCAAAGCATTCTACTGGTAGTCTTCGTCTAATCTCCAACAATACTACAAAGGTCCCTACATTCCATGCCTCCTTACACATTAAGACTTGTTTATGTCCACGCCGGCGTTACCGGTCCTTGGCAAAGACCCAAATTTTAGCGATCCTTTCGCGACCTCATGGGCTTCCGTCTTGGGCAGAGGATACGCAGGGAGGGAGAGAGGGGTGTGATAACTGTATACGGGGTACGGTGTACACGTGACAAGCTTCAGTGCAGGCTGCAGCAATGCCAACATGAACAGAATAATTAGGCAACTCGTGCTTGAGAACGCTGTGACACTCAAATTTGATTGTTGAATTTGCGCTATGTTCAAAACAATGGCCAGCGTGGGACGATACGCAGACCTTTAGAAATCATTGCCAAAAACGGACATGCCGACACAGTGTATGTCGCAAAAACACATGAGACTGCAAAATGCGGGGGTTTTTGCAGGGTGAGCAACTGCAAGTCAGAAACTCTAAAGCATACAATCTGTCCGCAAGCAAAATGGTTGAAGTGTTGTGGTCACACATCTCCAGCGCAAGCTGCTGGCGATGCCAACATCAACTGGAAAAAGCAAATGAAGCGACTCGCAGTTGAGAAGGCTCTAACACTGGAAAGTTGACAGTCAAGATCGTGACATGCTCAAGACGCCAGGGACAACATGCATCCTGGCAAAATCTTTGAATAATGTGGGCTCGCGAAAGCCGTGTACATTTCAGACAAACATGTGCGCAAATGAGAAAGCGCTGGCGCCCGTGGGATGAACAGCCCCGTTTTGTGGCAATTCCGTTTATCAGTGCCTAACACGACCCCCCCACCCCCCACCCCTCCCCCGAAACAAAAAGAACCCACAGAACAAGTGTCTTTGTGGCAGCAAACACGTGCATGTGTGGGGCGCATTGCACATTTAATGGCGTTTTCGCCCAGGGCCGCTAACGTTGGCGTAGCCTTGTTTTAATAAATGCCTTGAAACAATCGGCTGCAGGACTGGGCAAAAGCCTTCAAGAAGTCATGGTATGGATTGGGGCTGTTGATCTTCGGCCGCGATATCGCGCAGGATTGGAGGAACCTTTGGAACCGGCAGCCAGTTCCCTCTTTGCCCATGACAGTCCGGAGTGAGAAGGATCCCAAGAAGGAAATACCGTTGGTATTCTATCCTGACTACAATGCAACCATCGATGATCCGGATATGAGGGTGAAGGGCAACCTGAATGCAGATGTGGCGACTAAGCTTTATAGCAGCTTTTTCCGATGTTGGAAGGCCCTGTAGCACAGAGGCGGATTTTTCTTAACACTCACGCGAGAATGACAATTAAGCATTCAGTATTGATCATGCTGTCCTGCTGACACCGGTGAGAGTCATCAAGCTAAACAGCATTGCTACTAACCCTCAACCGCCAAATCAAGAGGAGGAGGTTCTGGATTTAGGGTGTAGGTTGTTTTTAGCAACAAGTCGGGGTTTCCCAAAATTAGGGGTACCATTTTGTTGCTCCCTATAGTAAGGAATATATTATTTTGGGGTCTATATTGGGGTCCCCTTATTTTGGGAAACTACCAAGTACTCAAAGAAGTAACCACATAGCTTCTGCTGGCAACCGGAAGACAAGATGGTAGGTGCCACAGCATAAATGGCACTTAAAGAGTTCGTAGCCGGTAATTGTTGCTGTCATTCCTGGTGAGTGGCTTCCCCTACGGTTAACATGGGAAATAATCTCTCCTTGGAGGGGGTTATCTAACTTTATAGGGGTTTATATAGGTCACATGATGAGTATTATGCGCCCCAAACCCTAAACCCATGGCTGTTTGATTGTTCACTTGACTTGGGACAGTGTCAGGCCAAACTTCTGGTGGATAAGTTCAAGGATGCCGAAGTGGCATTGATCTTCAATGACAGGGGTGGTCACATGGTCGGAAAACTGACTGAATGGGAAGCGAGCGCCGGTGCCTTTATCATCCGCGCGCCCCACGATACTTACAGGCACACTTCCCCGAATCCAGTTAATAGTGATTGTAGGTGCAGCAGCAGAGGTGGCATCAGCCAGAACAGCAGCAGCAGGAGTGGTGGTGGTAGGAGTGGTAGTAGCGGCTGATGTTCGGCCATGCACAGACATTCTGTTCAAAGGTGCTTTCCATTCTTTCAGGGTTGGGTTCTGGTAGTTTCGTTCATGTCGACTGAGTTCGGGGGAATGCCTGCATGCGGTACCCGGCCAAGATATCATTCGGTTCACGCGCACGCTATTGCATCCGGTTGAATCGCTTGTGATTAGTACTGTGTTGACTACTTCATGATTAGTAGAATTAATGGGGGTTCTGATTACACTCCCCCTCCCCCCCGAAACAAATACGGTTCTAAAAAGCGCTAAATATTCCGGGGGGCGCAATCAAATGTCAGAAAACTTGTTTGGGAGGGTCCCAGCCCTGAACCCTGAACCTTCAACCTTAAAGCCCAAACCCAGAGCCCTAAGCCTTGAACCCCGATCCCCAAACCTCGACGAACTCCTCAGCCGTAAGCTCTTACTCTAAGCACTTTCTTGTACCACTTACTACTTATTTAGGGGCTCGGCTGCTGAGACTGGCTGGCTTCTCTGCCGCTTCTCTTCTCTCTCTGTCTTTTGTTTTTCTCTCTTGCGCGTTTCTACTGCAGAGCATGGAATTGTTTCCTTCCTGACTTGTTATTAGACCGTTAAGACGACAGTCAGCTCTATTACGAGCACTTTTTTAACATTCCGTTCAGGCCGAATTTGTCTCTATTACGACCCCTTTTCCTGATCGGAGAACATTACTCGTACTATTACTTCTGTCATTATCGCTCTCATAACTCTTGCAGAATTATTATTGTTGTTGTCATAGTTATTGTCAGAAAGTGGTTCGTGGCACGCCCAGAATCACTGATGCGCTTAAAAAACCCAGGTTTGCTGCCATATGCGCCTCGTCGTCCTAGTAGTCCTGGTGGCAGCGGCTTCTGTAGTAGTAGTGGTAGTTGTAGTCGTATTTTTGTAGAGAGATGAAGAAAACACTAGCGTGAGCAGAAAGGGTATCAACACTGCTTCGCGGAGGCAGATCAAAGAAGCCTACCGATCGCAAGCTTCGGAACCCATCATTCTACTCGTGTTTGGCGACAAAAGTAAGCCGGATCGGCGGCAAGTTCTTCTTCACGCAGATGATTCGGTCGAAGTATCTAGGCCATCTTGTGATTTACCCAGCGCTTTGGAAGCGCTGTATAGGCTTTTTTGCAGTAGGTTATGCTCAGGAAGTGGTTGCGCATTCTGGGCATGCTTTGGACTGCGTTTGCGCATCACTAGGATCCTTGATGGTTTTGCATTGGATCCCTGTGTTGAAGCATCCAGCTGCAGCTCAGGTAACACAATGCGCCTGGAAATGGCTATGTAGTATTGGCCTCCCTATAGTCATTGCTGTCGGAGGAGCTGTCTGGTGGTTTTTTGACAGCTCGTGGCAGCTGGGTTATGCAAGCATCTTCTTTCTGATGATGCCTGACTTGATCCAGGCGTTCATGCGCAACCAGACACATCTTCAATCTGCTATCAAGGTTCATTCGAACATGACAGGCCACCGCATTATGGCACTAAAGTGAGTCGTGTTTGTATAGTGATTATTCAGCCCTATTGCCTTCACTCAAAGGTCACTGCATCTAAAGTCTCAACCCTAAATTCTAAACCCAAAATAGTAGTTTCCATTTTATTTTCCATCATCCCAAGATAACCCTAAACCCTAAGCCTGAGAGGCCTTCTGGATGAGGAGTGGGCCATCCTCCAGCAAGGTTGGAACTGTACCTTACTGCTTGTTAGTATTGCATGAAGGAACTAAATGGTTCGGAAGCCCTAAGCCCCGAAAGGAATGCAGGGCTTGTTGTTGGGAATTGTGTAGGCGCTCCTATAGGCATCCATTTCATCATTTCTCTAGACCTCCAAACCCTAAACCCTAAACTCTGATTAGTAGTATTAATAATTTTCAATTTCAATGTTCTTTTCCATTTGGCCTGTATTCAGCTCCATATAACTCGATATAACCCCGATAAAGTGCATTGTTGGCATGATCGCCCCAAACCCTGTAGCTAATACACTATAGAAGTTTCAATTTTCTTTTCCATTGTCCCTATATAACCCCAATATACTATAATAGTTTCGATTTTCTTTTCGATGTACCCTGAACCACCAAAGTGCATTGTTGGCATGATCCCCTAAACCCTAAAACCCTAAAACCCTAAACCCTAAACCCTAAACCCCTAAACCCCTAAACCCCTAAACCTTAACCAGTCAGGTACGGTCCAGTCCAGGACCTTGGGAAGCCATGTAGCTGTCTGGGACTCGGCGCTATTCTTCTGTGGCTGTGTGCTGTTCCTGGGTTGCCACTGGTAGGGTTTTAGGGGTTTCGGGTTTAGGGGGTTAGGGTTTAGGGTTTAGGGTATGGGGTTTTAGGGGTTTCGGGGTTTAGGGTTGAGGGGTTTAGGGTAATATTGGGATAGTGGAAAAGAACACGGAACCTACGATAGTATATTGGGGTTCTACTGCGATAATGAAAAAGAAAATGGAAACCACTACATAATATATGGGGGTTGTATAAATATAGGTATATTGGAAAAGAAAATGGAAACTACTATTGTATAGTGAAGGGTTTAGGGAATTCTGTACTGGATGTTTTCGGGCCTAGCATCCCTTTTCGTGCTCGTACTTCAGTTGGAACATACTAGCCAAAGGAATCATAGACCAGGTTTCCATTTCCGTTTTCATTTTCTGTTCCAGTTGATTCCACATTATTGGGGGTAATATCCCTATATGCCCCTTTAGATGGACCTAGGCTTTCCATTTCATTTTCCATTTTCTTTTCCAGATTCTCCATTATTGGGTCCAGGTTCATACTGGTTGGGTGCTACCACCTCTCTCAAGCGGCGGACTCTTTGAACGAGCTCACGGGCCTTCTACATCTCCATGACCACAGAAACAAAAATCTGCAGGCTGTACTACTGCATCTTTCCCTGCGCATTTTTTCTTATCAACTTGGTTTGTACTTGAGGAGATGGAGTGCAAATTCCCAGCTTCCGGATTTGTCCTTTGGGTTTGAGGTGCCTGTTCGAGCGTCGTGAAAGCTGCATCTAAGGTATCGGCTCCACAACATTCGTAACAAGACCACACACAGGCGCTGCCTGCACTACATCTCGCAACATTCCTTCCCTGACAAACTGGAGGCCGATGTTTCTCTGGGCTGGTGGTTTGAGACTCGGGCCACCATCTTTGCAGATGTCAGTCGTAGTGTTGCAAAGCGGAACATCATTTTCGGCTTGTTCATGGTTGCCGAGTGTGCAATGATTATTCTCACATGCCTTGCCTCCCTTTTCGACACTGGGAATGATTTCGCGGTCATGTGCTACGCTACGGCATACGGTGTTGGTTTGGGTTTGTTGACCCTGCTGTTCATGTACCTGGCCAGCAACGTCAACACGGAGCTGCAGAATGGGTTGAAGGAGGTCAATTCGTCTGAGACGAAAGATATCGAGCAGGGTTCGCCTGTGACAATGTTGTCCCTGGATTGTCGTTGAAGCACATTGTTGTTTGTTCAGGGATAGTTCCCTAAAGAAGGAAGCAGTTGTTGAATGCTGTCCCATACATTATGCAGGAAGCGGCGAAGGGATAAACAAGCACAGGAGGCCATATCGGAGCTTCTGGATTATGAGCGCATCCATCCTGCAAAGCTAAAGTTCATGGGCGTGCCATTCACGATCGAATTTCTGTGGGGCTATGCGGCGCCGCTAGGTACCTACGCAACGGGTGTGATTTATTGGATCGTGCAGAACACGCTTATACACGCATAAATGAGTTTTGGTTTACGCTTGCAGTTTATGGCATGCTATGAAACCCCAAAACGGATCATCTTCAGCGGACATAAGCATATTGTCGCTCAGATTGAAGCCAAAACTCAATTGAGAGCAGGCATTTTCGACAAACATAATTCGGAGATTCTACAAGACGGCACGAAGGTGTCGCTTATTTCTAAACGGCATTGAAGCTGTTGTATAGTTGTTGGGCGCAAAAGCTGCGACGAGGTGTTTTAATTGTTCGGTGTACAAGCCTCCGACCATTTTGTTGTACTTAGCCTCGCTAGCTGGGTGATGAAGTCGATGAAGTCCGACTTTCCTTACTGGTGGTTAGTAGGGCCGTAGGGAATAAGGGAATATAATCTTATTTAATCCCCACGCAAAATATTCCCTTACTCTCTACTAACCCCCGGTAAGTTTCAGGCCAACGGTGAATCCGCTCGCGCTCTTGAAGTGAACAGGTGTCTGTCTGCGGACTTACCAGGCTCGTGGTGCAGTTGGGTCAAAGTAGGGAATAAGGGAATATATGATATGGGGATTATATAGGGGTTCTATAAGGACTATATAGGGCAATAGAGGGGTTATGTAGGGAATAGATTATACAGGGGTTATATAGGTTTGCTCACTTGTTGACTACATTGCAGCTGTGGTCAAAGGCTTTAGGGTTTAGGGTCTTAATTCCTTTAAGTGGTGTCATATAGGGGGATTATATACTGGAGTATTATAGGGCTCTTAAAGGGGCATACCAGGAGTTTAGACTATAGCTCACATGATCGCAGCTTACCAAGTGTTGGGAGCTCTTTAGCCTGGATGGAGCTAGCATCTCTGAGTTTCCCACACCTGACATCTTCAAAGCTGACTCTCCGTTTAGGGTTTAGGGTTTATGGTTTAGGGTTCAGGGTCCATCCTTGGCCCAAGTGTGCAATCCGCTGGAAGGCAATCTTTTTTTGGTGCCGGAACTGACACACTCTGGTTGCACCTGAGATTTTGGGCTTTACTATCTGAGGGCCCGAGAGGAGGCAAAACCCACATATCCAAAGCCTAGTAGATCCAGGTGTACAGGAACCACGTGGAATTCCTGAGGTCGTTTTCCAAGTGTATATACCTCTTGTGTGAATGTTCCAGTCCGCCTGAATCTCCTCCAGATGACCCCAAAAGGCCACAAGAACCCGGAGGTAAGATCCTATCAGCATCAAGTACCTTTACGAGTACATTTTACAGAGGAGCGTGCCGCCAGCGCTCTCTGCGATGGACGTCATTGCAGCTGCGGCGCCTGGGAGCATGGCTTTGCTGGCACTGCATGGAGTGAAGGAAGAGGTTTGTACAGTTTCAAGTGGGGCTTTTCGGCTTCCCATGGTGTTGGGGGAACTCACTTGCAAAGCATGTTGCATGAATGTCCTTGATACACAAGCTAGAGCATTAGCAAGTTGCTACTTGGTTCGTGAAAGGCCCTGTTAAGCAGTGGTTGCAGGTTGTTTTGCTACAGAATTTAATTTTGGAAGGCTACGTTCGGTTCGGTTTGTCAGGAACCTAACCCTCTATGAGCCTTTGGATTTCTCTAGGTGTGACCAGCGCGTTATGCCATGCAGGCGGCATGGGGCTCCAGTGTGGAGAGCTGATAAGTGCCGTCAAGCTACGGTCAAAATCATCCAATGTTTTGGTGTGTTGCCAGCCAGAAAAGTACTAGTTCAATCCTGGTGGCCAATGGTTGCTTGATGATGCGGCATGCCAGGTGACAGCAGCTCTATGAGCCCAGACGCCGCTCTCTTTCGCTCACACGTTGAAAACAAGACATCATGAGAATGCAAAGGTGCCAGGAGTCTCAATTCCAGCAAAGCTGTAAGATGACATGCAGCATCTGCTACCTTTGACCTGCTGTCTGTACACTGCTGTGTTGCCGCTTGTCATGACTGATACTGGCACAGCAATTTGCATATTCCATGTTGCCTTCATCATGACTACATTTTGTCTGGCCGCTGTTCAAGAGCTTCCGAGGAAGTAGGCCCAGCAGGAGCGGAAGTAGGGCAGTAGGGATTGTGCTGAGAATGGGCCTGATCTTCAGCAAGGTGTGGCAGAGAATGCTTGGTGCCAAGGATTGCCAGCAATTGCCAGAGTTGTTAAGCTGGCTGGTGATGATAACAAAAAGAAAAACTAGTCGTGGTAGATGAAGCAGCGCTCAGTTGATAAAGGGAAACAACAATAAGCATACCAGGGCGAATACTGACACTAGTACTACAAGATTGCTTGGCACGAAGGAGATGCGACTTCTCATGTTGGGCCTGGATGCAGCTGGCAAGACCACCATCTTGTACAAGCTGAAGCTGTCGCAGGTTGTGACTACAATCCCCACAGTGGGCTTCAATGTGGAGACTGTGGAGTACTTGGACAAGACAGGAAGTAGGCTTTGCTTCTTTTACTTACTGTTGTGGCGGTAGTTTGAGCTGGTCCTAACCTGTCTCTGAAGCAAGGTATCGCAACATCAACTTCACGGTCTGGGACATAGGCTGGGCTGGAACACGGAGGGCTAGCTGAAAGCTTCTTCTGGCGGTGTCGCTTTAGAAGCCTGACTGGGTCACAAAGGCAGTAGGACACAGATGTATGACTTTTTTCTTTAACCATGTAGGCATCATCAGAGTGTCTGGTCAGGAGGCCAGGACAAGATTCGCAAGCTGTGGCGCTACTATCTCCAGGGCACGGACGGTCTAATCTTCGTTGTGGACAGCTCAGACCGTGATCGCATCAATGATGCACAGGAAGAGCTGCAGAGCATACTTGCACAGCCCGAGATGGAAAAGACAGTTCTGTTGGTTCTGGCAAACAAGCAGGACCTGCCGAACGCAATGTCTACCAGTGAAGTCACCCAGGCATTGGAGCTGCAGAAGCTGCGTCACAAGTGGTTCATTCAGGCAACCTCAGCCCCTACCGGAGACGGCTTGTACGAGGGCCTGGACTGGCTGTCCAGCACCCTCTGCTCGAAGTGACTTGAATTGATGGGATGTGGCCTGTGCTGCCTAAAAGGAAGCTTAATTTCATGCCAGTTTTGGGCCTTTGCAGCCTCGCTATGCAGCGAGGAGGGCCCGGTCCTTGTCAAATGCTCCCATCCTCCAGAGCGATCACTGCCCTGTACAGATGCAGACTCCAAGGCGCTTTGGGCATGCAGAGGAGGGGATGTCACTTTAGCGGAGCTGACAGGTGGCCATGTGTCCGATGCTCCGACAAAAGCACATGCCTGTCCTCTGACCTATCCCTGCATACTAGCGGAGATTCCTGCCCTGTGTGCGACTTAGTGACAGGAATCGCTTGTCCGTTTCGTTTGGTGCCTCAAGCTCTGCAGCAGGCGGCAGTGCCTAGCGGCCACGTCTGGAAGGTCAGTGCATGAAGAATTGTATCTTACTGAAGCTACTTGCTCACCTGGCTAAGTACTGGGAAACTACTCCCTAAACTCCAGATCTTTATCACGACTTTCAAACTTATGAGTCCTGATAGTCATCCGCATAATCCTCTTCAGAACTCGGTAATCTCAGCGTTCCCCAACGTTGAGCTCGACGCGGCTCGCGATGAGTCCATCCTATGAGCTGCTGGCCGTCTGGCTGCATCGTTTTTCTTACCTTTGGTTAGCTGGGAATCAAGGAATGGAAAA